ATGACTGACCCTAATAAATTTGTGAGAATCGGTTCAAAGAATCGAAATATATCTCCCATATATATCTTCAACCGATTTCGAGATAATTGTGTAACAAATAGCCAATTTTACTCCAAATGACCTGCATTTTGACACATCCGACCGAATTCAGTCTAGAAGCAAGTACATCAAATTTGGTGAAAATCGGCTCCTATTCGAAATATGCTTGCGACAACAATAATATTTGGTCCCAGATATCTTATAGAGCTCGGAAATGGCTTTGGAAATGGCTTTTATCGAGATCGGATAAGATTTGAATATAGCTCCCATATATATCCTTAACTCGATTTCATTTGGGCAAATAATTGCTAATATAAGCCCAAATGAAGTGAATTTCGGGACGTACGTTTCCATCTGGTGGAACTCGGCTCCGATATATATTTTTATACCCTCAAGGCATATGGCTATCATTTGATACGGTCAAAAATAGCGGTCTAAGGCTCTTTAGGTCTCTTTGGACCAAATCCGTTTCAGGAAATTTAGAGTCGATCTTGCGATGTCAGTCTGTCTGTCTGGCTGGCTGGCTGGAGCGAAAGACAACTCTCGAAGGGAGTATCCGATTTGGTCCAAACTTGGTACATCGTACTATTTTTGTCAAACTTAGATCGTGTTCGGAGATGGGCAATATCGGTTAAGGCCCTCTGGTACCTCACCCAAAAAAGGTCCAAATTTTCTAAAAATATATTTTCTGCACAGAAAGAGAAATGATAATCCAATTTTTCTCCAACTTTGTAAATCCAAATAATTCATCAGTGCTAGGTCAGGTGCGAAAATGGACAATATTGACTCACTCCATCAAGTACCTCCCCCAAAAAGGGTCAAAATTTGAATAATTATAACTCTAATAAAATGTGATGTAACAGTCCGATGGGTCCTCAAATTTCGTACATCCTAATACTTTTATTAATAAAAGATCTGGTGTGAAGACGGGATATATCGGTCTACTCCTTCCTGTACCTCCCCCACAAAGGGTAAAAATTATGAATAACTCTGAAGCTCTTTAACAGCGAAATGAGCATCCGATCACTGAAATTTAGCACATTTCAATATTTCTATCAGCACAAGATCTGTTGTAAAGATAGTAGAGATCGGACTATTCCTCCTGGTACCTCTACCACAAAGGGTCAAACTTTTTAATAACCAACTCGATCATAAAATACGAAATAAGCATCCGATTATTTTATTTCTACTAACACAAGATCTACTGTAAAGACGGGGTATATCGGTTCACTCCTTCTGGTACCTTCCCCACAAAGGGTCGACATTGTGGGTATTCATGCAGCTCATAAAACGTGAAAATAACGTCTGATTCCATTCAGACTTGGTACATCTCAATATTTTCATGAACCCAAGATCTGCTTTAAAGATGATAGAGATCGGACAATTTCTTCTGGTCGGACCTCCTCCACATAGGGCTCACGATTTTGAATAATCAAAGCGATTATAAAATCCGAAATGAGCATCCGGTTTTCTTTATATTTCACACATTCCATTATTTCTATCAACACAAGATCCGCTGTAAAGATGGGATATATCGGTCCACTCCTTCTGGGACCTCCCCCACAAAGCGTCAACACTTTGAAAATTCATAAAGCTCATTTAACGCGAAATTAATATCCGATTCCATTCAGACTTGGCACATCTCAATAGTTCCATCAACACAAGATCTACTATAAAGATGGCAGAGGTCGAACCGTTTCTTCTTTACAACTTAAGGCATCTACCGTGATACTGATAGCGTAGCCCGACGTCAAGGATGTGGACGGAAGAAAACAGCAACATCAGCAGAAATGGTGCGAAAAGTAAAGAAGCGACTTGATCGAAGCCCGCGTTGCAGTGCCCGAAAAATGGCTCGTGAGCTGAACATATTGCAATATTCCATTCGCCAAATATTGAAAAATGAGCTCGGGGTAAAGCCATTGAAATTCTAAAAAGTGAAAGAACTTATACCGCAACAAAAAGAAGATAGACTCAAAAGAGCTAAAGAATTGCTTCGCTTGACAGAAAGTGTTGAACTGCCGAAATTGGTTTTCGATTTTCTCCGATGAGAAAACATTCGTTGTCCAGCAGTTTGTAAACAAACAAAATGATCGTGTTTGTTTGGCGAAGAGGTCAGCTGAAAATGTGCATCTTTGCACCAATGCACCACCAGAACTTAGGCGCCGACCATGGTGATGGTGTGGGCCGCCATAACAGCCGATGTTCGCCCTCCGCTTGTATTAATCGATCGTGGCATCAGAATAAATGCCGAAAATTATCGCGAAAATATTCTGGAGGGTGGGCAGGCAAACATTTTGCCCCTAGACCTTGGACATTCCAACAGGACTCAGTACGCGCCACCCAAGAATGTTTACAAAATAAGGTTCCTTGCTTCATTTCCAACGCCCAATGGCCCCCAAAATCTTCGGATACAAATCCGTTGGACTATTGTGTCTGGAGTATTTTGGAAAGCAAGGATGGCACTAAAAAATACCAAAATGTCGATCAAGCAAGCTTCGCCAGGAATGGGCCAAAATACCGCAGAGCAACATTGGGGTAGCGTGTGACGGTTTCATTGGCCGTTTGAAGGCCATAATTCGTGCCAAAGGTGACTGATTCGAACAAATCTAAACTTATTCTAAAATTTGATTATATTTTCGACATTTTTGGCTTTCATTCAATAAAATCTAAAAAAATGTAAGAATTATGGCGTTTGACTTTGTTGGAGTTTTTTTTATCTCACCTTGTAAATCTGTTGGCAAAACCGACGGATACTTGTTTTGATCGATTTCTACAAAGAAGACCTTATATATATATGAGGATCATTAGGAAAAAATTGGCTAGTGTGTTAGGAAAAATAATTTGTAAGACTCTATTTATACCCTACATCACAAGGTGGTCAGGGTATTATGTCTTTGTGCATTTGTTTGTAACAAGCAAAAGGAAACGAGATAGACCCATAGTTCCTTTTGATGATCTGCATAAAATCATATTCAGAGTCGATTTATGCATGTCCGTCCGTCCGTCTGTCCATGTATTTTTGTAAACAAAGTACAGGTCGCATTTATTGCCCAATCCAGATGAAATTTTGCACAAATCATTTGTTTGGCTCAAGAACGAACCCTATTGAAATTTGAGATAATCGGTAAAAATTTAAATATAGCTCCCATATATATCTTCGTCCGATTTGCCTTTTATTGTGCACCAAACGTGTAATATCAGCCCGAATAGCATGGAATTTTGCACATACAATCAAATTAGGCCTTAAAATAAGTATGCCAAATTTGATCGAAATCGGCTCAGATATAGCTATAGCTCCCATATCTATTGGTCATCCAATTTGTTATTTTAGTCCTCCGCAGCCGTAATATGCACTCTGTAACAACAATATTTGGGGAAATATATCAAATTCAGCTCAGAAATACATCTGTTAAATTTCATAGAGATCGGTTCAGATTTGAATATAGCTCCCATATATATCTTCGTCCGATTTGCCTTTTATTGTGCACCAAACGGGTAATATCAGCCCGAATAGCATGGAATTTCGCACATACAACCAAATTAGGCCTGAAAATAAGTATGCCAAATTTGATCGAAATCGGTTCAGATATAGCTATAGCTCCCATATATATTGTTCATCCGATTTGTTATTTTTGTCCTCCGCAGCCGTAATATGCACTCTGTAACAACAATATTTGGGGAAATATATCAAATACATCTCAGAAATACCTTTGCTAAATTTTATCGAGATCGGTTCAGATTTGGATATATCTCCCATTCATATAACTTCGTCCGATTTACCTTTTATTGTGCACCAAACGTCTAATATTTGCCCAAATGGGATGAAATTTTGGCACTTACGACCGAATTGAGTCTAGAAGCTAGTATACCAAATTTGGTGAAGATCGGTTCAGATATAGCTATAGCTCCCATATATATTGTTCATCCGATTTGTTACCCACAGCCGTAATATGCACTCCGTAACAACGATATTCAGGAAAATATATCAAATACAGCTCAGAAATATCTTTGCCAAATTTTATCAAGATCGGTTCAGATTTGGATATAGCTCCCATATATATATCAAATGGGCAATACAAGTCCGAATTTAAATGATACAAATGCTTCGGCATATTTAGTCTTTTGAACTTTAAATTATAATTAAAATCATAGCGTGTATGATTGAATTCTCCCATAAAAATTTTTAATTGTTAATCGGAGCTCTACTTAATTAGCAAAGTGGTGTAGGGTATCATAAAGTCGGCCCCGTCCGACTTTAAGACTTTCTAAAGAGCTTGAGTTAGATATATTTCCTGCCTTTGGTTTCCAAACACTGTGCAACACAATATCATATTTCTGGTCAAGTATGCAACCGGCAGCAGCAGTTGGATGTATAACACTACAAAAATCACCTCAACCAATCTTGCCCATGGGGCGAAACAATTCCAAACGAAAAAAAAAATAAAGAGCACACTTCTCCAAACATAAAAATACAAATATCGTTGATTTTTTTCAAATGCGTAGATTCGATTTTATTTCTGAAGATTCAACCAACGATTGTTCATTTACCTTGAAGTCGTTAATATGGAAATTATGTTTCGGATTTGTTGTTGTTTTTGTTTTTTTTTTTTTTGTCTACCAAAAACCATCACAGCAGCAATAACAACAACAACATTGCACCAGCAGTACTCAAAATGTGAATGAACTGTGAAATCGATAAATTTTTAAAGTGTCGATTGGATATTGGAATTTGAAGTTACGTTGTTGACTTCCAAAGTGATTTGGTATTGGTTCCGCATTTTCAAAATCCATCATTTGAAGGGTAATTTCTCTATTAAGATGTGGAGCTAAAGAAGTTTTTGAAATTATTGTTATTTTTTTTTAAGGAAATTGAAGCTGATTAAATATTATAATTATTGTTAATAATTAAAGTAAATTTTGTTTCATTATTAACAATTAGTTTTTTTTCGTCTATTTTGCAGAAAGCCTGAGGATATTATGATTTTGTTGGTAAGTGAATAATTGTTTAAATTAAGAAATTTAATAAGAAAAATTAAAAAATACGTTAGTTAAAAGGTTTTTTACATAGAAGACCGCCAGATCATGGCTTCATAGAAAATCTGAAGATATTTTCATAGAAGAACAGAAGAGTCTCTCATAGACGACGAGAAATGTTTTCTTCTCATAGAAAACGAAGAGGTCTTCTAGTCATAGAATACCAAGGGGATTTCCCATTGAAGATCCGTAGTTCTGCTTGAAGAAGATCAGACTTTTTTTGGCGAGAGGGCCTTCTGCACATAGAAGACAGGAAAATCTTCTCACGGAAGACCAAAATGTTTTTTTTTTCAGATAAGGCCAGAAAAAATTTTTTCAAATAGAATTCTCGAGATACTAGAAGAAAGACTTCTCAGAGAAGGCCAAAAGGACTTTTCACAGACGCGCATAAGTTGCTGAGAAGACTTTCTTCTCTGGGAAAGCCTTCTGAACAGCTCCTGGAAGCCTTTTTCTCAATCTGGAAGAAAACCCTTTCTGAGAAGATTTTCTGGGTTTTACTGAAAAGACCGTCTGGGCTTCTATGTCTTCTCAGAAAAGACAAGAAAGTCTTCTCTGGAAAGGCATCTTCTCCTAGCAGAAAAGAATGTCTTCTTCCAAAGGTCAAAAAGGTCTTCTTAGAGCTGACCAGAAGGTTTTCTCAGAGAAGAATGTATTCTCAAACAGAGCACAGCAATCACCTTAGAAGGTCTATTAAAAATAAAGTCAAAAAGTGTCCTCATAGAAAGCCAGAACGTCTTATCAAAGAAGGACAGAAGATGACTTACGAAAGGCAAAAAGTCGTGTCAGTAGTAGTAAGTAAAAAAGGCCTTCTCATAAAACACTAGAAATTCTTCTCACAGAAGTGTAGAAAGTCTTTTTAAATGCCTGGAGGTCTTCTCAAGAAAGGCAAAACTGTCGTATTCTCGGGAAAGTCCAGACGCTGTTCCCGGTATTTTCACAGATGAATAGAAGTAATTTTTACTGAAGCCCAGAAAATACTTCCCAGAAAAGACCAGAATGTCTTCTCAGGAAGGGCAAACTAGTCATCTCTTTTAGAAGACCAAAATATATTCTCCTAAAGGACAATAGTGACTTCTTCCAGAAGACAAAAAGGTCTTCTCAGAGCTGACCAGAAGGTTTTCTCAGAGAAGAAAAACAGAGCACAGCAACCACCTTAGAAGGTCTATTAAAAAAGGTCAGAAAGTCTTCTCAAAGAAAGCTAGAAGGTCTTCTCAGACAATGCCAGAAGATCTCTTAGGTAAGGCAAAATGTCGTCTCAGTAGGTCTTCTTAGACAAGTCAAAAAGGTCTTCTCATAGAACACCAGAAATTCCTCTCACATAAGTCTAGAAAGTCTTCTCAAAGATCCTCTCAGGAAAGGCGACAGTTTTCGTCTACGAAGGTATTCTGGGGAAAGTTCAGACGCTGTTTCCGGTACTTTCACAGACGAATAGAAGTTCTTTTTACTGAAGCCAAGAAGGTCTTCCCAGAAAAGACCAGAATGTCTTCTCGGGAAAGGCAAAACAGTCGTCTCTCTCAGAAGACCAAAATATCTTCTCCCACAAGACATAATTTTGTCTTTCAAAAAAGCTAAAAAGTCTTCTAGGAGCTGGCCGGAAGGTCTTGTCAGAGAAGAAAGTTTTCTTAACGAGATCACAGCAATCGTCTCAGACGGTCTACCAAAGGAATGTCAGAATGTCTTTTCACAGAAAGCCGGAAGGTCTTCTCAGAGAAGGCCAAAAGGTATTCTAAAAAAAGGTAAAAAGTCGTCCCAGTAGGTCATACTAAAGTCAAAAAGGTCTTCTCATGGAAGACCAGAAATTCTTCTCACAGTAGGCTAGGAGGTGTTTACAAACAAGAGAAAAAAAGAAGCTCTTTTTCTACAACAGAAAGAGATCTTCTCCCAGGAGGAAAAAAGCTCTTCTCTCAAGATATAGAAAGAGAAAAAGCTCTTCTAGATGAGAAAAAGCCACTTCCCAGGAGAGTACAAGCTGTTCTCCCAGGAAATAGAACGAGTTGAAGCTCTTCCAGAATAGAAGAAGCCAATTCCCAGGAGATTAGAAGCTCTTCTCCTAGGAGACCAGATGCTCTTCTCTCATGAGAAAAGAGACGAGAAGGTATTTTCACAGAAAACCACAAACTCTTCTCATATCTTCTGAGAAAATCAGAGAGAATGAATTGTTCTTGAAAAGAAACAGAAAAAAATCCTTAAATCTCTGAGGACACTTCTTACCAAAGAAAAGAATCCACAAATCTCTGAGGACACTTCTTATCAAATAAAAAACCTGTCAGGACACTGAGGACACTTTTTTCCAAAGACAACAATTATTCTGGACACTGAGGACACTTTATTTTGCGCAGAAAAAAATCTTCATGTGCCTAAGGACACTTTTCTCCAAAGAAAAAAATTCCTCAGGTCCCTGAGGACACTTTTCTTCAAAGATAAAAATCATAAGGCCCAGAGGAAAATTTTTTCTCAAGAAAAAATTCCTCAGGTCTATGAGGACACTTTTCTTCACAGAAAAGGCCCTGAGGAAACCTTTTCTTCAAGAAAAAATCCTCAAGTAAAAGTGGACACTTTATTCCAAAGAAAAAAATTCTCACGTCCGTAAGAACACTTTTTTCCATAGAATAAAATCCTCAGTCCCTGAGGACACTTTTCTCCAAATAAAAACCTTACTGAGGTCCCTTAGGATACTTTTCTTCAAAGAAAAAAGGCAGAGGGCTCTTTTGTCCAAAAAAAAATTGTCAGATCCCTGAAGACACTTTTTTCTATAGAAAAAAATTCTTCAGGCCCCTGAGGATACTTTATTCTATAGAAAAAAATTCTTCAGATCCCTGAGGATACTTTTTTCTATAGAAAACAAAATTCTTCAGATCCCTGAGGATACTTTTTTCTATAGAAAAAAAATTCTTCAGATCCCTGAGGACACTATTTTCTATAAATTTTCAGGGCACCGAAAACACTTTTTTCTATAGAAAAAAATAGGATCTGAGTACGGGTCTATATAAAAAAAATAAACTCTTACCCACATTGGGTTTCAGAGATCGAATTCTTTATTCGACTCCGGCCTTTCTTCTCAAGTGATAAAATTATCTTCTCTTAAAGAATGTTAAGTTCTTCTCATAGAAAAAAAAAACAGCATTACTTGGAAAAATAAACGCTACATCTAGAAGATCAGAAGGTTTTCCCACAAATGGCCGTATGGACTTCTCATAGAAGGCCGGACATTTTTCTCATAACAGGCAAAAAAGGCTTCTCGAAGCAGTTCGAAACATCCTCATCTAGTGAACCAGAAAGCTCTCCCTTTCTCACTTTTTAAAAGGAGCTTCTCTTAAAAACAACTTTTTTCCAAAGACAACAATTATTCTGGACACTGAGGACACTTTATTTTGCGCAGAAAAAAATCTTCATGTGCCTAAGGACACTTTTCTCCAAAGAAAAAAATTCCTCAGGTCCCTGAGGACACTTTTCTTCAAAGATAAAAATCATAAGGCACAGAGGAAAATTTTTTCTCAAGAAAAAATTCCTCAGGTCTATGAGGACACTTTTCTTCACAGAAAAAAAAAATTATCAGGCCCTGAGGAAACCTTTTCTTCAAGAAAAAATCCTCAAGTAAAAGTGGACACTTTATTCCAAAGAAAAAAATTCTCACGTCCGTAAGAACACTTTTTTCCATAGAATAAAATCCTCAGTCCCTGAGGACACTTTTCTCCAAATAAAAACCTTACTGAGGTCCCTTTAGGATACTTTTCTTCAAAGAAAAAAGCCAGAGGGCTCTTTTGTCCAAAAAAAAAATTGTCAGATCCCTGAAGACACTTTTTTCTATAGAAAAAAATTCTTCAGGCCCCTGAGGATACTTTTTTCTATAGAAAAAAATTCTTCAGATCCCTGAGGATACTTTTTTCTATAGAAAACAAAATTCTTCAGATCCATGAGGATAATTTTTTTTCTATAGAAAAAAAAATTCTTCAGATCCCTGAGGACACTATTTTCTATAAATTTTCAGGGCACCGAAAACACTTTTTTCTATAGAAAAAAATAGGATCTGAGTACGGGTCTATATAAAAAAAATAAACTCTTACCCACATTGGGTTTCAGAGATCGAATTCTTTATTCGACTCCGGCCTTTCTTCTCAAGTGATAAAATTATCTTCTCTTAAAGAATGTTAAGTTCTTCTCATAGAAAAAAAACAGCATTACTTGGAAAAATAAACGCTACATCTAGAAGATCAGAAGGTTTTCCCACAAATGGCCGTAGGGACTTCTCATAGAAGGCCGGACATTTTTCTTATAACAGGCAAAAAAGTCTTATCGAAGCAGTTCGAAAGATCCTCATCTAGTGAACCAGAAAGCACTCTTTTTCTCACTCTTTAAAAGAAGCTTCTCTTAGAAACAAAAAAGGTGTTTTTCAAGAAGATATCGTATTTTGTCCTCCTAGATGGTAAGGTGCGAATATTCGTCTTCGTATGGAAAATATTTAGATGGTTTTCGCTCTATAAGAACCATTGGGAATACCTTCTATTTCTTGAACCCGTTTTTAATAAACAGTGGATTTTTGAAAGTATTTTTTTCGGAAATCTCCAAATTCTCTACCCAAATATTTCTATAAAGAATATCATGAGGTATTATTTAGAATATTTTTGGTTTATTGAAGACATTTTCAATACTTAATAAATATTTGATATTTGAAAGTATAATTTTTTAAGACAATTTCAAATTCTATAAACATTTTAGCAATAAACATTCCATCACTCACTCACTCACATCACATTATATAATTCATATCTCAATAAATTACTATAATTAATAATGAGCAGCTTAAAGCAAATCACATACAGACAGACATCACGAAAGTGAGATGGATGAACACATGCCTCAAAAAAAACAACAGCACAAAAAACACGCAAATCTTGAAGCGTATAACTCATGGATGAATAAATGGTTGGCTGGCTGCCTGTCTCTATTCCCAGGCA